CAATTTGCCAGCACACCCCTCAACTGAAAGGAGGATGGTGGCACTGTCCCTCCAGGACTCTTCCAACGGTTACATCTCACTCACACACCCTCACTCAGCACCATGGAACCTGTAAGGGGCCCTGGTGGGTGCTGCAGGTTAAGTGTCCGGCTGCTAACCACAAGGCCAGTAGTTCAAACCCAGCAGCCGCCCTGCGGGAGAAAGAGGGCGCTATCTACTCCCACATAGATACACAGTTTCAGAAACCCTAAGGGGTCCCTGTGTGTTGACCTGCACTCCCAGCACATAGGGTCCCTCAGTGTTTCTGTGATTGGTTTTAAAGCCGTACTTGGTGCCTGGAGCATGCCAGCCGTGGGCCCTGGTTAGGCCGGGTGAAAGTACTCCATCATTAGCTTAGAGGCCCCAAGTGGCTCCAGGGAGAAGGATGTGGTGGTCAGCTTCCACAAGGATCTCAGCTTTGGAAACTCCATTGGGACAGTTCTACCCTGTCCCTCGGGTTGCCCACTGGAAGGCAGTAGAGTTGGGGGTTTCCAGCCTGACCACTCAGGAACCATCGAGAAATGTGGTCCTTGCTCAGGGGCTTCTGCTTTCTGGTCGGGGGAGTGGCGGGTGCTGGCCTCAGCTATGCACATGTGCGTCTGGAGGTGGTGAAAGTGAGGTGGTAGGGTGCCCTCCCCTTGAGGCTGGACCTCTCTTCCTGAACTAGGGCCAGCGAGCGGCCATCGGTCTCTCTCGGCCCATTAGACAGATGGGTATGTCGAGGCTTAGACACACAGCGCTATGGAGGGAGCGCCCACTCTGGCTAGCCTGGGACAAAACGGAGGGTTCGTGAAGGGGCGTTGACCTAGACAGGCCCCACCCAGAGCTGGGCTGGGCAGGGTAGGGACCAAGAGAGGGAGCTGGGCGGGGCTGGGGTGGGAGGTGGGGCCGGCAGAGATCCGAGATCCAGCAGCCGCGGACTCCTACCCATCCCTCAAAACTGGATTCTCCCGGTCCTTCCACCCAGCTTGGCCACCGGGCATCGCCCACCTCCGTCGCCAGTGTACTCGGGCAGTGGGCAGAGGCCTGGCCACCAAGGCGCACGCTTCAATTCCCTGGGGAATTGGAAAGGGTCTACCCGCCTGGCGTGCAGTTGGGGGAAGGAGAGGCGATGGGGAGGGGTGGAGGTGTCTGGATTCACCGGGGTCTCACACACACACACACACACAC